GCATGAACTTGAGCTTAGGCAAAAGGGCTGAGTGGGGAGAAGGTGGTTTTAGTTTTGGTTTTGTGTCTCTCTATCCTACTCTATTTTTAATTGGAAATCAAATTATCTTCCTCAGTTCCTGTCTTTTGCCCATGATGGTGGCTGGTGAGCGATCTCCCTGTCTCAGTCTCAAAGCTGTTTTGTGGTATTTTCTCCCCACTCTGCTGAGGAGGGGAGGTGAGAGCGTGGCTGAGTGACCTGGCAGCCAGCCACAAGTGCAATGCACATCTGGAGCTGCTGTGTCCTCCTCCCCACTTCCTTCTCCCTTTCAGATGTGTAGAGGAGAGAAAAAAAATGACTGTAAAAACTTCCCATCATCTTAGTAATAAAAACTCCTTAATTTTTTTCTTGAGTCTCTGTTTCTGAGGAGCAAAGCTCACATGTTCTACTCTCATGCTACAGTAATTTCCTTTGTAAACAAGCATCCTGCTTTCTCACTTCTTGGCTTTAGTTAGCAAAGGACACATAAAGTTTCCAGTCTGATTTTCATTTGGCTGAGAGTCTTTCTCCATCCCCTCTGGCTATCTCAGTGCTGATCCATCAGCACTGAAACGAAACTGGCTGGGTCCCACCCTTTTAGAGGAAACTCAATTCTTGGAAGCAACATGAGGAGGCAAAACCAGGCCAGATCCATTAGGGAATGCAACCATACAAAATTATGTCCCACCTTCTCCATTTCCTCTGTCCTACACAAATGACACATAAATGTCACTGTCAGTGGTGCTTGGCTTTTTAAGGAATAATTGATCACCAGTCCATTCTGCACTTCTAAGCAGGGTCAAAAATTGCCCTATATAACCTAAAGAAGCTTTTTGGGGAGGGGAAGGAGTTGAAGGACATACATCCTATCCACAGGCCCAATACATCTGGAGAGCTTATTAAAATAAATACATTAAGAGGTAACTCATTGCATTTGTGGCCTAAAAAAGAGCAAGGGAGGATTATCCTGAAAGAACAGGACATCTGTCTTGGATGCAATCAAAAAACTGCTGACTTTGTAACATGAGATGAACACATGACACAGCAAGAGGACAGGATTACCAGTTTCACTCTTGGGTAGAAGGAAGAAAAAGTAAAAAATACTGCACTAGGGTGTTGTTCTGAATAGCACAAATTCCTTCATAAGAAAACAAACACATGAAAAAGAGGAAAGGAGGAAAAAGTTATTTTTGGACTTGTTTGTGTGCAATAGAGCTGACTGAGTGCCTCCCCATCCCCGCCTGCTGCTGCACGCACGGGAAACCCAGTCACCTCTGCTCAAGCAAACTTGGCACTAAACCCAAAATTGTGCCAACAAATCCCCCTGCAATGGCAAGCAAAACTCAAAGCACATGGTCAAATTTTCAGGCTGAAGAGGAATTATTCCTGCTCTTTATTTTTTTACTTTACATGTTTCTTGTAGCGCTTTCCTGGTGTTCATGGATGGGATTGGAAGGGTCTTAAAACCTTTCCTCGTTCCAACTGCCCCTGCCATGGGCAGGAGAGCCCTCCTCTAGAGCAGGCTGCTCAAAGCCCCTTCCAACCTGGTCCTGAACACTTCCAGGGCTGGGGCATCCACCACTGGATTGACTTCCCTTGGTGGATGTAGCCATGATATTTCCTGAAAAATCCTTTCCTTAGGATTTTTTCCTCCTGAGAAGCTGGGAGGCCTCAGGAACAAAATGTAAACAATGGTTATCTGCTGCTGTGGAATGCAGCAGGTGTATCTGTGATTGGTCTCATGTGGTTGTTTCTAATTAATGGCCAATCACAGTCAGCTGACTCTGACTCTGTCTGAGCTACAAGCCTTTGTTATCATTCCTTCTTTTTCTATTCTTAGCCAGCCTTCTGATGGAATCCTTTCTTCTATTCTTTTAGTATAGTTTTAATATAATATATAGCATAAAATAATAAATCAAGCCTTCTGAAACATGGAGTCAGATCCTGTCTCTTCTCTCATCCTCAGACCCCTGTGAACACGGTCACAGTGGACCCCATGAAGCAGAGCTACACACTTGCCACCAAGGAACTGAAAAGTTCACAGCAAAGCCTCCTGTGACTTGGCACCAGTGTGCTCCACTACCCCAGCTGCTTGAGCCCCATATTTACACATGAACTAGCTGAAATATGTGTGACTGAACCCTTGCAGAGCTGTTTTTCTGTGGCTGGGAACCACGGGGCATGACATGTAAGTGAAGCCAGAGAAGGTGCTTGCAGTGAAGCTGCTGCAGCCCGGGTTCCTTGTGCCCCAGCTGAGACACAGCACTGGATCACAGGAGCCCTGCTGGGGAGCACACGTGCAGGGGAAAGGGGGCTCCCTCAAACCAAATGTTCCCCCAGCAGCTCTGCCCAGCCTTGTGGCTCACATGGAGCCAGGGCAGCATGAGCCCAGGCTGCCGGCAGGCTGGGAACCACAGGCATAACCTGCCTCTGATGCACCTTCCTCCAGTGCGCTTCTGGTCACTCAAAGAAGTTAAAAGGTTTTAGGAGTTTGGCATTGTGTTCATCTGACACCGGTTTTTCAAGAACTGCTACTTGAGAGATGAGTTCTGTGCTTATTGCAAACTTAGATTACTGTAATCAAAGCAATCAAACTGAGTAATTGCTGTAATCAAAGCAATCAAAGTGAGTAATCTCTGTTTACTTGGCGTCTTTTGGCCTTAAGACACATTCAGCTTCTTTCATCTGTGATCCCAGCACTGCTTACACACTTGCAGTTTCTTCATGGCTTTATATTGTGTCCCCAGTTTCCCTTCTTACCACTCCTCAGACATCAACAAAAATCCCTCATGAGTCACAAAACAGCAACACAAGAAGGGTAATTCCTAACGGGAAACTAAAGAGAAAATCAGTTTCGATTCCCTGAGTTGTTTAATTGCAGCCTAACCACAAATTTTTCTTGAGGCCACACCTCAGTACAACATTAGGGATGTGGCAACCTGTTATTAACATAGTGCTCATATGCAAAGAGCTAGCAGCTTTTTGGTATTCTCCACAGGGGTGTCAACAACCTTTAAACTTTGACTCTAGAAAGCTGAGCTGCAGTAAACAGGGAAGCTCTGAATCCACTTCAAGGAGCATTAAGGAGGTGATATTTTCATTTGAAGAACTGGTGAAATCCCTCAACCCCCAGCAGACAGGATGGTTTGCAAGTCTGGAGTACAAGAGCCTAATTTCTGAGTTCAGGCTGCCCACAATGCAGGGTTACCTGCAGAAGGAAGTTTACAAAGATAAAAACCAAAAACCAGTCAGGTTTGCACAGCTACAACCCTCATCATCCCCTTGCCTGGTAACTAATCCTTGGGTAGATAAAGGGACAAACAAACAAAGCTGGTGACTACAATGGGCCACCCAGCCAGGACCATGACACTAAGGAACGTGTGTTAATCAATCACCTTTGTCCTTGTCTGACTTCAACTTGCCAGATGTTAACAGGGAACACCACACAGCTGGCACAAACTAGTCCAGAAAATTCCTGTAACACTTGGATAACAACTTCATGGCACAGGTACAAAGGGAGCCAACCAGGAAAGGTGCCCTCCATGATTTGTTGCTACCAGAGAGGGTCTTGTAAGGGAAGTGGTGATTGGTGGCCATCTTGGCCACAGTGACCACAAAGCAATCAAGTTTAAAATCTCTGATGACAGGAGGAGAAGTGTCAGCAAAACTTCCACCCTGGCCATGAGGAGAGCAGAGCTCAGGCTGCTCAGGGAATGAAGCCAGTAAGGTTCCCAGGGAAATGCTTTTGAAGGTGCTGGGGTCCCTCAGTGCGGTGTGGAGGACCAGGAATGGGACATCACACCATGATCAAGGGGAGCTGAGTTTATTATCCCCAAAAGGACTGTATTTACAATAAGTTTCTACTGTTCACATGTCTCTAGTTAATGCATGATTGGTTAATCCCAGCTGTTCACACATCTAAAATAGAATGCTGATTGGAGCATCTGATTTTCATGTGCCATGTAAGGTCCCTTGGTTTGTCCAGGCAGGAGGAGACTGAGGTCAGCCCTCATGAGGGGCAGCTCCCACCTCTGCTCCCAGTGCCAGGACCTGAGGGAAGGGAGCTGTGCCAGGGCAGGCCAGGCTGAGCATCAGGGAAAGGTTCTTGCCCTAGAGGGTGGTTGGGCACTGCCCAAGCTCCCCAGGGAATGGGCACGGCCTCAAGGCTGCCAGAGCTCCAGGGGCACTTGGACAACACTCCCAGGCACAGGGTGAGGAACCAGATGACCCTGAGGGTCCTCTCCAAACCAAGCTGTTCTACGATGCTGATTTTTGGGGTGTCTTGTGCAGGGCAAGGAGTTGGACTTTGATGATCTTTGGGGTCCCTTTCAACTCAGAATATTCCATGATTCTGTGATTCTGTGAACTAGAGATTAATCTTTTAAAGCTAAAGCTCTGGCAACAAAGAAGTCATTACAGCAGAATCTGCACAAATTGGCCTTTTTTTCCTTATAGAGCAGATGAACAAGAGTTATTTGAAAAGCTGAGTTCCTGCCAGTTTTATGCTTACCTGGAGCAACAAAACCAGCAGGACACCAGCTGGTGCCGATCTGAACCTGTCCAAAGCTGGTTCTCCAACACATCTGGGAGGAAGGCAGCCAGGACCAGCACCTGCAGTGCTCGGAGATGAACTAGGAGCTCACAGCTCAGCTCTGCTGGAGTCACCCCTGCCTCTGTGGGCACATCACCTGCAGGGTCACTGCAGGCTTCTCTCCCTTGTGGTGCTTCTTGGTGACTTCATGCAATATATGACTCACCTTCTCCCCAAATCCACACCTGACTGAAATACAAACAGCAAAGAAACGTCTGGAGGAAACTTCAGACAAAACACATGACATGTCATGAATTCAAACAGAAATGAAATCCCAAAGAAATCTGAGGGAGCACAAACATGATGAAGGTCTTTGATATTACAGAAAATGCAGATAAGAAGGCATTGTTTAATGAACTGGCACAGCAAAACAACAGGAAATACAGCAACACAGGTTAAAATGCTTTTTAGTTGTTTATTATAAAATACAGATTTACATGTGAAGGCACTTTGAAACCGTTACAAAAATTTCATGTAAGCTATTGTTTTAGCTGTTCAACAAGCCCAAAATAGTTTTTAGATCACCTAAAAAGGTGAAGAATTCTGAACTGCATCCAGTTGTAGTACATTCATTTTCCTACTGAAGAAGCACTATACATAACAGTTATTAAGGATTTTGGCTCCATCAGTTGTCTACTGTGAGAGAAGGCAGTGACAGTGTGGGGAGCAGAAACACCAGGAGATGTGCACATGATATTGAATTAAAACCATGTCAATGGTTGTAAACTATCATCATACAATACCATGGAACGACTGATGCTGTCCTGCCTAACCATAAATTTCCTATCCTACTGCAGAAAGGCTGCAATCCTCCACTTTTTATCTGAAAATCTGAAGACAAACATTAAAACTTGAATAAAATTAAATATCTACATGAAACCTATTCCACTGCACAGCCATTTCCTCATACTGCAGCTCTCCAGGGGCAAGCACCTTTTTCTGAAAGTAAACAAGTTTAAAAAAATATCAAATGTTCAAGTAGTTAATGACTCAAAACCAAGTTTGTAAACTTCCTACTCCTTGCTGAGTAGTGTCCCTGCACACCTACACTTAGAAATTAATTTCTCCTTCATCATTGCTGAGGCTGCTCAAAATCATGGCAGTGTTCTCCCCATGGCCTGTGGGGATAATCCACCCAGCCAATGAAGGAAACAGAGCCCCTCAAACAAGTCCTGTGTAGTTGTTCTTTTTTTCAGTTCAGTTACACAGAAACTGAAAATTACAGTGCTGAGAAGTTTCTCTATGGCTCTAACCTTAAACACAATTATAAAATAAGATCAAACTACTGATTTACAGTAATGAGTAAACCCTGACTTTTCTCCATTTTGGTAAAATAGATCCTACCAGGTCTTCAGCATTAAAAACTTGGTCACAAGAATTGGATGCTGGAATTTCTACTTTTCCAGTGAACCCAAGCCTTCAACAGCTATAAAACCTCACACATACACACCTCCTTATGTGATGGGCTTACATTCAGTGTAGATACTACACAAGAGGCTAAAGGTCTTCAGGAAAAAATAAGACATTCAAATTGTTATAAAAACGTGTACATTTGAACAGCTTTAACATGGCCAAACCCCAGCTGCTGATTTCAGCTGTGTTTTCTCATGGGTGAGCTGCCATCTGTATGAACAGCATCTAGGGCAGGCTGCTCTGTGCCTCCCAACGTGGAGCACCACTGGCTCAAGAGAAAGGGAATTCAGGCTCACAGAACTGTGAGCTTTACCAGAGTCCAACCTCAGTCACCACTATTTGTATTTTTAGATTATTGCCTTTGTTACCGCAAAAGCTGTCAGATACATGTCACAACCGACACTTTAACATAAGTTCTGACAGTTCAAAACTACTCAGCTCTTTCTGAGGCTAAATAATTTATTTTTTTTCCCTCATGTTACTCCACAGTAAAATAATACATAAAATTCTGTATTCTTTTCAAATAAGGCACTTTGTAAGTTTCTTCTCTAAATGCCAAAAGCTTGAGGAAACTTCACTGATTTCACTAATTTCTTTATCACTCTTATTCTAATAATAAAACTGGTATTCCAAGCTGAGTTACACTCAGAATTCATGATGCTCCAAATGGGGCTTGAGAACATCCAATATGGGTTTCACAGAACACTCTTTTGCTAAAACAGCTCAGAGTAAGTTATAGCACAGTGTGATCTTTGGGCATGAAGATCACTGGCATTTCCTACATAACTCTTTACTTTTTGTGTCCTGTGGCAGTCAGGTGAAAGTTCAGTGTTGAAGGAACTTGACAGTTGTCTATATACAAAAGCAAGAAATAAATAGCACAATGTTGTATCCAGCTCTGTAACTTGGAGATCCACAGACAGCAGAAGCTTTTTAGTGATTTGCTCTCTCACTGACAACATCCTGCAGGCGTTTCAGTAGAACATCATCATTTTCCTGGCAGAGTCGCTTTGAGGGAGATTCAGTGTCACTGTCAATTGTTATTGCTCGCTTCTTACTCCTATGTTCACCTTGCTTTATCATATTGTTGATGTCCTTCAAACTCTGCGATCAAGACAAAAATAATGAGTTACTCTGACTCCATTTCAAACTTGCTCTATGGCTGAAATATCAGTGAACAAAACAGGTTATCCTGCAGTCTGAGTGGTGGAATCTACATACAGAATTCTAACTTTAGTGCAAAGTGAGAGAGACCATTCATATAACACATCAGAACTGCACTAGACCACACCCTAATTAAAGATTAAATTTCTCAACCACTTTGAGCCTTGTTTTAGCTGTACCTTGGACGGGCTGCCATTGAACCTGTAGAGCAGGGCAGAGCGGGGCGTGAGGCAGGCGCCGTTCTTGTTCTTGTGCGGGGACACGAACACCGAGTGCTGCTGCGAGATTC